TGCCTCAGCACGGTATTTTGGGAGCAATACCCTCTGGTATCACTCAATACACACTTTGCAGGGCTGCTTTGTATTCCCACACACTGGGGAAAACACAGAGTCCTGTTCTAAAGTGTAAGCCAAGCTTCTTGAATCCTGAATTGCTGGGGGGACAGAAAGACAGCAGTAGCTGAGAGATGCTGAGACCCGAAACAAGTTGCTTTTAGCCACCAGTGGAGGGGAATACACCACTTTAACTTTGTTTTCTCCTCTGCTCTGCCAAACTTCTCCAAGCAAATCATGCTTTATTTCTCAAGTAATTTCTGAAAGCAACACAAATTCTCTACCTGGTTATGTTTTTCTATTTTTAATTGTACTTTATTAAATAAAAAATGCTTCCATCTACAACAAAATAAAACAGTTTCCAGTTATTATATGCTTTTGGTTTCTCTCTCCTCTGTAAGCATCTTATTTTCTCCAGTCATTTTCAAGATTTCAGGCTAGGATCACCTCAGCCTCTTATATCATATTATTTTCCTACCATGAAGTTGTTTATGTGTATTGTTTACCCAACAGACACTTCTCTTTCACTTGGTATATTCATTACTAAATAATTCTGTGAGAAGATACAGGCCACTGATTTTTTGCAATTTGCATCCCCATACTCTAAGCTATGTTGAAAGCAAAGCTTTTTGGTCCTCTAGCTTTGGAAGTACATTAATATTTCTATGACCTTTACTAGATGGCAGATGAGAAGCATTAGGAATGAAATAACAAACAAACCAAAGGAAAACAATTTTTTAAAATAAGTATTTCTGAAAGGAGCAAGAGGGAAAAGAATCTAGTCTAAAAAAATATGAACTTTAGCTAGAGTTATGATAATTGTTCTATTGTAGACTATTTTTCCATGTCAAAATGTTTCTTTATGATCAATCCATTCAACATAATGCAAAAATGTATTTGAAGGGGATTAGTAGCTATGCATATGAAAAATATATAGATATTATTTAGAGATATTTATAATAGTTTAAGACACATTTATTTACTGTGTATGTTGAAGGGATCATATTAAAAGCATGGTCAGTATGCTAATAACTACATTACACAAAACTGCTTGAAATCATCTAACTTCCAAAGCCTGCTGGTTATGAAGAGAAATTGTGTAAAACAAGTTGTAAATGTAGACTTTCTGTGCGGTGCAAATGCTCTGCTTTAGAAGAGTATACTTTCCGAAGCCTTTAGAAGACTGTAGAAGGAAAACCAACTAAATTCTACCCAGGAAACCATTTCTCTCACAGCAGAATTGTTTTTCAGTGGTTTTACTACACACCGGAAGCCAACTCTGTTCCTGTTCATCTAGGTGTCGATGCCATAACTCAAAGGAACAGATCCAAAAATGATTTTTAGTGACTTGAAATTTGACTGCTTTATGAACACTGTGTATAAATTAGCAAAATCTATTATTCCACAGTGTCCCATGAACTAAATTATTTGTTTACTGGTTACTGACTGGAGGCAAAACTGAGATTCCTTAATAACAACCCTCTTTTATATACTTATTATCATATGCCACAGTATCAAGTGAAAAGATATTCAAGTGGTGGGGGGTGTGGGCTGTTATTTCTCTTTAGGATAGTGTGGAAGAGTCAGAAAATTTTAAAAAAAGCAATTCACTAAAATTAATTAAAAAAACCAGTTCACCATACCATGAATCACATGAATCTAGAAGGGTTCAGATTAAATCAAGTAGTGCTATTTATAGGACTGACACAATGGCAAGAATCTCCTTTTGTCTTTACTACCAAGTCCCATGTTATTGCAGGCAGTAAAAACAGGAATCGGCCTTATATTGAATGCATCACATCATACCTCTTTTTCAGTTATTGCTTTTTTAAGTTCTTCTGTTACAATACATGAAAAGTTTCCCTCCTTGAGGTTTCAAGGAATACTACCTTAAAATGTTAGGATCAAAATAGAGATTTTTTGAAATCATAACTTCTTAACGGGAAAAAGTTAGAAAACATGCTTTTTGTTGTTTTAATTAGTTTATTTTAGGTGAAATGAGGGACTTCTTTATAGTTTGGATACAAGCATTTCCCTTCCATTTGCTCTTGAAGTCCAAGAGTTTGTTGCTCTTTGCTCAAGTTTTCAGAGAAACTGAAAGTGATTGGAAACTGACTTTAAAAAAAAAACTTTTCTCCCCACTGTTTTGTTTGTTTGTTTGTTTTTTAATAAATTTCCTCAGCTTGATTTAGCAGTATGGAGAAATGTAAATCACCTTTACATTTTTTAAACAATTTTATCTAGAGTATTACTAACACACACCTTTCGCTCACTAGATGTAGATATTCTGGCTCTTAACCAATTTGTAATGCCAGAGAAAACCATGCTGAGTTACCCAGCTGAGAACCTGACCCATTTTAAATATAGTTCCCATCTCCTTAGATTATTGTGCTTTAATTATGCCATGTGTAAAATGTTTTTATAACTAAAGCAACCAATCTGAACTTACTCAAGCGATGGCATCTGTCTTTGCAGTCAATGTTCTCAGCCCACTGCTGGTTTAAAATGTAATCAGTTTTCATCTGGTAGTTTGAATGGAATTTAAGTTTCTGTGCAAGATATACCCTGTGATGCTGCATTGCATTGCACAATGACAGTTCCTACATTCTTACCCAAAGTCAGATCACTTCTGCACTGCAGAGTTGGGGCTCTGAAAGATTTAATTGGAATCGTTCTCAAGCATGTAACAACATAGCCTTTGTAACCAGGAACAAATTTGAAAATGTTTTTATATGGAACATAATTATTCAATAGGATGTAAAAGCCAAATTTGCAACAGAGACTACGTTTCCATCTAAAATATTAGCTGCTTTATATATATACATAGCTCCAAAATGGAGAAGCACAAAAGGCAAAGGCAGGTTGCATCCTTCCTGTACCTGTACATATACTTCAATTTTGCACATGTACCTATAAGTTCTAATTCAATGCATAGAGAGAAACTGATGAGAGCACCTCTTTTGAAATATCTGGTATTGGTGATTTGTGCATGATGGAAATACAGAAAGCTAGAAGTGATATATTTTCTATGTAAGGTCAGACATTTCAAGAACTGGAATCTTTCTGCCCCACTTCAGGATAAACAATCTGCTACAGTCTTATTAAGAGAAATGGTATCCCTTAGTGCCAGTGCTTGTCTTGCCTAGCTGTCATCTCACATTCCCTAGGGGCTTGTATATCCTCTATGACTGAGATTTGCACAGCAATGTCAGGCATTTGGATGCTCAGTTCCCATTATTGTTCTGAGGATCCCTTTGTTAAGGGATGTTAGTTCTTTGTGCAGAGTTGCTGTCTTCTGGCTCTGTGGTTTATGTTGACTACCTGTCAATATTTCCAGTGAGTCTTTAGTCTGCTCTTGAAAAGGCCTTTTGTTATTGATGCATAATATATTCCTTCACAGACAGCCATTAATTGGCTATGAGAAAGCTATTTCTTACCAACTTGTCATACACACATTGTGCTAGTGTGCATAGCTAGTATGGGGTTATGTTTTGGATTTGTGTTGGAAACAGTGTTGATAACACAGGGATGTTCTGGTTACGGCTGAGCAGAGCTTACACAGCGTCAAGGCCTTTTCTGCTTCTCACCCCACCCCACCAGTGAGTAGGCTGGGGGTGCACAAGAAGTTGGGAGGGGACACAGCTGGGACAGCTGACCCCAACTGACCAAAGGGATATCCCATAACATAGGATGTCATGCTCAGCACATAGAGCTGGGGGAAGAAGAAGGAAGGGGGGGACATTCGGAGTGATGGCGTTTGTCTTCCCAAGTCACCATTATGTGTGTGACGGAGCCCTGCTGTCCTGGAGATGGCTGAGCACCTGCCTGCCCATGGGAAGTGGTGAATGAATTCCTTGGTTTGCTTTGCTTGCATGCGTGGCTTTTGCTTTACTTATTAAACTGTCTTTATCTCAACCCATGGATTTCTTTTACTCTTCCTTCTCTTCCACATCCCGCCAGGGTGGAGTGGATGAGTGGCTGTGGTGAGTGGTGGTGCTTAGCTGCTGGTTGGGATTAAATCATGACACATATGTACCTGAAAAGCCTGGAGAAAGCTTGTACTGGAGAAAAGCAGGCAGGAGGGGTATCAGAACAGGAATATAGATTTAGGTAATACCAGACACTTCAGGACAGATTCTGAGCAAGCTGCCAGGCTGTCCAAGTTAGAATAAGGTGGACTGGTTTGGCCCCTGGAGCACCGTAGAACTCCCCAACCTACAAAATTCACATCTGGTCTCCTTCTCAGGGATGCAACTTCCTCATGTTGTCTACACCAACATCAGAAAATAAAACAGAGCTGAGATAAAGCCTTAAGTACTGGCCCTCCATCTTCTCTATTTAACTGTTTTCAGTTTAAGCATAAAAGAATTTAAGCATGGATGCAAGCCACACAATCTTAATTAGACTCCAGACCAGAGAACATAACCTGGCTCCTTTTGTTCACTACTACACACAGAGTCAGTACAGTGAAAGATTAAAATCTCACTTTGGGACATTTAACCATCTTTGCAAGACACACTTAGGACAGCTAGTGAGAATGGCAGCTGCTTTGTAATGATTTCTTAGTTAATAATACATTTACATATGTATTACACACATGTCCCCATGTGCATGTGTGTGTATATATATATATATACATATACACAAAATGTTTATGTCAATGGATGTAACAGCTAGAGCACCATTTTCAACCTTATTTAACAAGGCCATCCAGTACCGAGAACAAGTTTCAAGTCTTTGACTTACAACTCCTCTTGTTTTTAAGATGGTTTGAACTGTCAATGCTAGTAAGTCATAAATATGAGAATAATGTAATAAGGATTACCACAAATACCCACTTCTATTTTATTTTATTTTTGTTCCGTATTTAAAGTATCCACACATCTTCACACATTTCCTTCCTCCTCACTGTCACACACAGAGGCTCTCAGTTATGCAGGTATAAGGATTGACATGTTCTAAACTGTAGTAGTTTCTTATTCTGTCTTGTTGAAAGAATCCTGACTAACTAGAGTCATCACTTGAGAAAAAGATCCATAGTGATTATATTGAGATGAGCTTCCATGTTTTTCTATGTATCTGCAGTCACACAGAGAAAAAAAAAAGACTTTTAAAGTGTGTTCTCATATTGCTAAATATTCCTTCTTCCTCCCTCTCACTGTTTTCTTCATAAAGAGTTTTGCCCATTGGTCTCAGAGAACATTAACAATTTCAATATTCCATAGTATTAGAATCAGCCCCCTTAAGAACAATGGTGACATATCTTCCTAAGAGTTTTAAATCTTATTTTAAATCTTACTTTCTGGATATATGTAACATGCTGAAAGACAGATCCCTACAGCAGCTGTAAGAGAGGTATGTTCTGCCTCTTAATGCTTTTCAGCCCTTCTTGGACATACGCAGTTGCTTCACAACTGACCAGCACACTATCTGTGGAGAACTGCCATGAGCATGCTGAATGCATTCAAACACATAAGGCCCTGTGGTGCCTGGAGGTGGTGTTGGGCACTTGGCTTTCAAGCCTAGAAAAAACACTTTTCTGGCACCATGGTGTGCCTGCTTGGATGCCCAGTCCTTGTGGTACAGAATACTGGGACAGGCATTAGTAAATATGCTGGGGACAGTCTGGGAGGGAACAATTTATGCTAGACTTCTAATACTCTTCTAATCTTTTACAAGAAGAGGCACTATAAATAATCTTTCACTTACAGCCTAAGTTCGTGTAGCCCCTCTGCTGTGAAACACCAAATCAAAAGCAGGGCTGACACAGAACTGACCACAGAGTCTTACATTCACTCACTCTCCAAAAAAAAAAAATTATTTTGACCCAAAGATCCCTTTTTAAATCTCCAAAGAAACCTGCTGAATGCTGCAACCCTTCTCTCAAAAATCAAACTAAATCTAGCACTATCTTTATATTAACTATGGTGAGGCCAATGAATTTCCATCAATGTCATAGTGCAAATGGATTTGTGTTTTGTGGGTAAACACAAAGCAACACATAAAGCATTCTGCCCTATGAAAAGCTAAATGATGCCACCAGAATCTAACCGCACTAAAGGACTTTGAAACTTTCTCACTTCACCTTGGGATAACCTGGAAATAAAAATACAATAAAAATACATCAATAAAGCTTAACATATAAAAATACAATTCATATTTGAAGATGAAGAAACTGTATTTCTTCTGTTCTACATCCTATAGAATCCTTTTGGGTTCAGAATGCTTAAAACAGGTATAAAGGACTTTGCCCCACATACTGTGGAAGCTCCATGCAATAGAAATACAGTGCACAAGTGGTTGCATGTTGCCTGGTCTATCTGATATTGCTGGTACTTTTGACAGGAACATTTATTAGACCATGTTAGCAGTAGACAAGAGAAGAGACTCCCTCCGATACCTATAATTGTCTTCAGGAGACTGACCATACATTGTAGTCATGTCAAATAAAGCAGTTATAAAAACATCCACCACATGCAATCACTTGCTGCTTTCTGAGAAATTATTAAAGTCATGGCTTGAGAATGATCAAAGAGAGAAAAAAAAGGGGTCACCATTTTAAAAAACAGTAAGAATGAGATCATGTTGTACATGAAAATCATATGAAGGTGACTCCAAATTCCAGGAATAATCTCTCTTCTCCTCACCTCTCCACTACAGTATAGCATGACCTGTGACTACTGAAATCAGCAGGACTTTTCATCATTTATTTTACAAAGGGAAGTAATCAAATGTTAAGCATCTCTTTTTTTATGGGCATCACTAACTAATGTTGGGGGAAGATTCCCAGCATTTATAATAGTTTTGAATAGCAGTTTCATAGAGGGCTACAATCCTCCATCTTAAGTAAATACTGTATTACCCCAGAAGTAGGTCCAGAGAAAGTGAAATAGGACTGTTATAATTTTTCAACCAGGGTACCACCCTCAGGGGAATATACCACTAAGCTCCAAAAAGGGTGGTCTGCAATGTCTGGGTATGATTAATTTTGCTATCTGTACCCTACACACCCTTCTTCAGAAAAGTCAGGGGATTCTGTCCTGTTCCTGGAAAGTATCCATTTGCACTGAAATGAGAACGCTGTTCTTGCTATCCACTCAAAACTAAGAAAATTCATCCACTATGATCTACACCCACAATAACACCTGTATAAAGTAAGAGGAAGTAACAGATGTGTTTTCCTTTCTTAGATCACAGAGGTACCTCTCTTTTTTGCTCTTGAAATCTGGTATCTGTCTGAAGTCTGTCAATGATCTTTGCTAAGATGCATTTGCCTTTTTATTTGTCTGTGACATTTACACACAAGTTAGCCTTGCATCATGCTGCTCCAAGTTCAGCTTTATTAGTCTACAGAGACTCAGGACTCCGTTGCATCTTTTCATTCCCTGCCAACAGCAAACTGTGACTACAGGTAACTGCCTGTTTTCTAAGTATAACCACAAGAGAAAAAGAGCAGAGGTGAATGGATGGAGGGCAGCAGGAATGAAAGTCAGCACCTTTTGCACAATGATGAAACATTTGACAAGGTGAATCCTTTAAAAGCCAGGCAGCTCCCTGAAGTTCCTCAAGTCTTTTCCGGATACTTGGCAGTGCTGAAAAAGAAGTGTGATGTGTTGCAAACGGAATCCTAAGGCAAATTAAACAGTTTAATGGAAGATAAATTTATCAGGAAAACATGGCAACTTGGGAGAGTGTCACCATGCCTTAGATCATTATGGGTAACAAGAAAGCAGAATCTAAAGCACAAAATTATAAAGGAGAAGGGAGAAATAAACAGTTTTTAAGATATTCTGAAGCTACTGGAGAAAGGCTAGGTTGGTCCTTTGCCAGTGTCAGAAGCTCTTTGTGCTAACAAAAGGAAAAGTGTTTTTCAGCTGTTTTGAAACACCCAGCTCTTTTTAAACCAACAAGGGTGAGACACCAAAATACTTAGACTGGCCCATAGTTTTTACAAGCCTTGTACGAAAGAGTGAGAGAATAAAGAAAACTAATTCATTTCATGAAGTAGCCAAAATACTGATGTGGAGCTATGATGATTTCATAGCCACAGGGTCCTAAACTGCATCTATGTGGGGGCATGGCATGATTTTGCCTCTCAGTGCCTTCTAAGTAAACCCACCCATTTTTAACAACTATTTTTGTATAGCAAATACCCATTTCCTAAGTCTGCCAACACCAATTTGGAAACACAACACCACACAGTTTTCTTTTCAGAATTTTAAACTTTGACATTCTTGGGCCTCTTTCAAAACACACACAGATCAAACAGTTAAAAAAAAAATCACTTAAACCATGATTTAGCAACCATAGCTAAAAAAAAAAAATAAATTGCCCAGTGTAAAAATAATCAACATTTAGAATCATGATTTACCTCAGTGTTAAAGTACCTTCCAAATACATACCTTACAATGTTCCAGAAAAATTCTGAGTTCTCAAAAGGATTTCAGATTAGCATGACAATAATGTGGTGGAATCCAACTCCAACTATTCTGTATTTTTTAAGCCAATGGAACGTCATGCTTAACATTTAATTGTTCTTTAACTAAATAAATGCAATTAGGATTGTTCCTGTAATCTTTCTGAACAAGCTGAGAAATATACCTCATATCTACCCATGTATTTGTGGAATCACTGATGGGGTTGTTGATGGAAGATTAGAATTTGCTGCGTGAGTTGCTGACCAATGAACCTTGCCAGCATATCCACGGATATCTGGAGGGCTAAAGGAAAGAGTTAAAGGGGGGATGAGGGGTGGAGAAAGGGTAAATTAAATGACTGCAGGCTTGAAATATGACTTACAGATCAGTTCTAAAATAGCTAGTGTTTATCAAAGATGGATGGGGTAAAAACTCTTCATAAAATAATGAGTATTCCTTAGAATGTATGAACTGGCATAGATTCTTTTAAGATCTGGGAAACAACTTTCTGATGATCTAGCTGATGATCTGACCCAAAATATTTGGTTAGATATGGCAAAAGTGAGTTCATTTAGTGACTTTTCTTTTTTTTTTTTTTTTTTTTTTTTTTGAATACCTGTATGACATTCAGGATTAAAAGCAACATTTAATCTCAGAGAAAAAATGGGGTCATGGGGTTTGCATAGAGCACAAAAAGCAAGGAAATAATCTTCAAAAATGTGATACAGATTTATCTCATACTTAGGTGTTAGCTTCAAATATGGAATTTAGGTAGCAGGCTTTAGGCCAACAGGTGTGATTTCTCATGGCCTAAAAGAAAAATTATTTCCCAAATAATTCTAAAGTTCTCTAAATTTCCCCTAGGATTTATTAAGAATGCATTTACATGCATATGTAATATTATTAACACTGCTCAGACACATCAACTTAAATTCTAGCTTGAGTACACCAACGGACTGAGACAGTATGTGCCACATCTTGGAAAAACTAAAGCCTTTTTAAAATTCTGATGTTGTCTTAATGTGAAATTAATAAAGAAAATTCCCTAAAGAGACAGAAGAAAGAATTCTACTTATCTGAGGTAGCACAACAGAAAAATTTGATAGCAATTGATGCAAGATGAAGCAGAGATGGACAAAATTAAAGGGGAGGGCGGGGAAAGGTGGTATTAATATGAATTCAGAGAGATAATCCAAGATTAAAAATAAAACAATCTAAACCCCCAATATGACAGCTTTTTTGCAGAACAAAGTTATTCAGAGAGTATTATCAGTACTGTTCTACACTGACAGCTCAAAATAGGACACTGTGGAATTATACATATTTCCAGACTGCCCATATACATGGAGGTAACAGTTCATGACAAGTTGTTTCACCCACTGAATCAGCTGAACACTTGAGATTGTAAACCTTGCCTCCATTAGTCTTTTGTGGGTCTTCAGACAACATGAATGATAACAGTGCCTCCTTTAAAATAATCACTGAGGTATTTTTTGGTTCCCCTGTACTCTGCATAAAAATAAACAGTTCCTTTAATTATAAAAAGTGCATAGAGCTATTAGTCTCAGTACAGCTGATCAGCTACTTCTCCGCAACTAAGTTCAGCACAGGATACAAAACTGGACATATGCATGAGATGTGGTTTACCAGAAAATTCTTTGACTTGTGTGCTAGGAACCTTAGCTCTGAAATTCCTCACCAGAACAGTGAAGGTAATGACAAAAAGCTTTATCAACCTACCACAGTTATAACAAAGGACTGTGGGTGAACTCTACTTGCCACAGGAGCACTGACAGTATGTTGTAGTCTTTGTACCCACAGTTAGCAGAAAGATCATCTAGTTCTTTGTCGTATTTTGGAGTAACCTTGCAACAACCCATATATTTATACACTGCTATACTCCCTGGGCCATGTTCCAGTACATGATCCTCCAGAGAAGATGGCTTTGTAGAATCCATACAGCAGTTTTGTAGCACCTGGGAAGCTGTTACTTATAGAGAATTTCTAAGTAGTTGGCTGAGCAATAACAAATCCGCTCCCTGTCTTGACAGCAGCCATGCAGGGGTGATGAGTAGGCCTGAAAATCTAGTACAGCAGTAGAACATATTTTCAGCACTAGGAAGAATGACTTGCAGACAAATTTGCTTTTTCATGTCAAAGTAGACAAGTGTTAGGTTACCTGCAGATTAGGTAACTATGTAGAAAATTTCATCTGCATATGCAGAGATCCCAGTGAGGGACACAACAGACATTTGGGGTGTGTGAGTATAAGCACATGCATTCATCCAAACCTGAAAATGTGGCATCACTTTGAATCAGTCAGACTGTGAACAGAGTTCTATTACCCTGGTGATGTGGTATGTACCAAGATATCTCTTACATGTAATAAAGAAATTCCATTGATTTCCTTGAAATTGTATGAGCATCACAGAGAAGAGGAGATCATAAGAAGAAGCCCCATATTAACTTGCAATATTTTATAAGCCTATTTGGAGTTAACTCACATAATAACTATACAGCTCTGGAGATATTAAAATACATTATATGCTGTGAGGCATCTGATTGATACAATCTTCTGACCTTTAAAACTTGCAAAACTAGAAGAGAAAAGCATCATAAATGGCCAAATGTGACCCAAAAAAATCAATCCTGAGAGATGACCCAAGATGAAGATTTGTTCTAGACTGTTAGAAAGGACTGACAGAAGTTGGTATATCTGTAACATGTGAGAAGAATGCAGCTCTGAAAGAGAAGAGAGATGGGCAGAGAGAAGCTAAAAGTACCAGGATATTAAGAAAGCTTACACTACAGTAAAGCAGCTGTTCTCCTGGGAACCTGCAAAAAAGATGCAAAAATGTGCTGTGGTTATATATATGTGATAAAGCAGAAGAAATTGAGGTTAAAAAAATACCCCTTTGGTTTTTTGTTTTTGGATCAGGCTGTCTAGCTCTTGTGTGTTTTCTCTGATGAGCTGCTAAACCAGATTGTTGCTGCTAAAGAAAACAACTAAGTACCAGGCTACCACTGGGCAACATACAAAACCCCTCTGTGGTTATGCTGTCGTCATCAAGCTTTCTTTCTGTAACCGTGACATCTCTCTTGTTCATACACTTCCTTGTTATCATGCTAGCAACTCTTAGTCTCAACAGTAAGCAACATACAGTGTTGACAGTTGAATCTGTGCAAGACCTAAGATTTTTCAAGTGGAATGTAGTGATTCTGAGTGCCTCTGCTTTGGTGTGCCTCTGTTTTATATGTCCATCTCAGGATGTCTTTGAAGATTTTTATTTCCTGGTAGTGTTCAGGAAAAACAGTGTGAACTTAATTTAGTTGAACACCCATACTGACATTTAGAGCTGTCTGAGATGCCTTAATGTATATGAGATAATCCTATAGCACAGGACCCTGGGAGATCCATACTGTTCTGAAGCAGCAGCTGGAAGTAATGGCCTAAGGTGTCTCCAGGGCATTAGATGCCCAGGTTTGCCATGTACATTCCATGTCAGCTATTTTTATGGGAGCAAAATCAAGATTCTCCCAAATAATTTGTAATTCCTGAAAAACTTGGATCTAGCACATCTTGGATTCAGTTTGAGCAACTGAGGTATGCAAGTTCTTTGTGCAAAACCTCTGCCTAGTGAAAGCAATCCAGTAGATTCTTACCTTGCACTTTCAAGCAAAGAGTTCCTAATATCTTACTTTTTCTTAGAAACACTGTTGTATAAATCTCATAGACCTAAATCACCAGATTAAGTCATTAACTAGCTCTTCTGGTTACTGCAATTATAAAATAGGCCTCTCGGGTCTCACTCACAGTACATAACACTTGCAACTGGCTTCCACCTCAATTTCCCTTCCAGGAAGACTGACATGTTACACGTCTGTGGCTCTTCTTTTACTCTATGATCCTATTTGCCAAGCAGAATAACCTGTGGTAAAAATGCCTCAGACATGATCCTATGTCAGGAAACTCAATGTATACAGACTCTTGTGTTGGGAAAGAATATACCTGGAGAAAACTTCTGAAGTCAAAACAAGATGCTCCATGCAAAGTGAAGAATGGGACTGACAAGATTGTTGAACAGAGAATTCTGGGTTTAATTTCATATCCTTCTTCCTCAGCCATCAAAGCAGGATAGAGAATGGGTTTTTACAAATGGATTTGGGATTTCTAAAAGGATAAAACATTAAAATGGTAATTCCCCAGAAATATTTTGAATCATGTTGAACTGGAACATTTTGTTTCTACAATTTCAAATACTTTTATTCTGCTTTCAACTTTTTCAAACCCCCTTTCTAGTATGGGGTAATATTTTTCAGAAACAAGAAAGCATTTCAAGCCAGCAATAAAATCTCCTTTGGAAAATGTCAGGATATTTCAGCATTTCCCACCCTCAACCCCCTGAATGACTCAACTTGAAAATCATTAAAAAGGCATACAGGGTGGACAAGCTGTCAGTTTCTGAAGAAAAGCTAGTGTGGGAAAGCTCTTAGGCAGCCCATGAAAATGACTATGCAAGGTGCAAGGCAGCAGAGGGTCCTGTCCCCAGCTAATTGTGGCCTGTGAGGTTTCTGTGGTAGCTTGAAATGGTAAGGGATGTATGCACACAGTCAGTTGGAAGCTGACTACACTGAAGAAATATGACTGAAGTCACTACAGATTTACTGATGTGATAGTAGCATTTTGCCCAATGTGCTTGGGAAACCAAGAATAAAGGGTAGTTTCAGAGAACAGCCTTGGGCAAGAACTGCAGGACTTGAAACACTTAGGACTTGTCTTCCTAGAAACTGTATGTCTTAAGTTTTCATTTCAATCAACTGCTTCCAGAAATGGATTTTGGTCAGACCCTGTCCTTTTTCTTACATAGACAACCTCTGTGGCTTTGGACAAGTCACTTCAGCCTCCTCAGTCTTTCAAAAAACGAAATATTTTTAAAAATCTTTCAAAAATTAATAGTATAATATACTTTACCAGTGTTACGGCAATGAATTAGTTGATGCTTCAAAGTGCTGCTAAGTAAATAACACTTTGTTAGAATGCATATGATTGTGTAAGCACTGCCCTCTACTGAGTATTATGAGAGCTGATGAATTATGAGTAGCAGGTTTTAAAATGTTAACAATTGCCAGATTTTTACTTAATTCTGGAGGCAGGTGCTTTTAATGTGGAACAAGAAAACATAATCGCTGTCCTAACCACTTTTGTCAGATTTCAAGAGGTAGGTTCCAGTAAGTACCAGGTGAAAATCAGGAAGTTGCTGTGCTATAATACAAAGAACATGCAAAAGAGAAAATCACACTTG